GCCTTAGCCGCTTGAGCCACAGGCGCCGAGCCTAATCTTTCTATTTTTAGTAGAGATGGGGTCTTGCTCTTGCTCAGGCTGTCTCAAACTCCTGAGCTTAAGCAATCCTCCTGTCTCAACCTCCCAGAGTGCTAGGATTACAGATGTGAGCCACCATGCCCTATCTGTACCTAGTTAATCAAAACTTTACAAACTACAGTGGTTCTCAACCTGTGGGTCACGACCCCTTTGTAACAATAAAAATACATCATGGCATTAAGATGGTTGAGAACCACTGACCTAGAAGAATTTCAGGGTTTAGGATAGTAGCAGAAACCTGTAAGAGCCATTATATGTTATTATTTTCAACTTCCTTCTTTAAAGACAATGAGACTGATTTATTGTTCAGGTATCATGCAAAATATAAGAATTCAGAATACTGTGATCACTTAGGACAAAATATTATTTGATATATTTTCATATACATCAAATTCAAAAGTTATTTCCTTTTGCTAAAGTTCCATAAGTATTTCTAATTTGCTTTGTTCACCACTGAACAGTGCCTGGCACATAGTTAAATACTCAAATATTTGTTCCAATAATTTACTACTGACTCTGACTCTATGGGGTATGGCACATTGGAGGAGATGCACATACTGTACTAGGCACAAATTTACCAATGTGCACAGACAATGTTGCCCATCCACACCCCAATCTGCCAGCCCCATTAAGACATTAGTCATGGGTAAAAGACTTGGACTAGACAAAATTCCTGACCGAAGATGGCAGGAATCCAAGAACCTTAACTGCTCACTGAATCTGTCTTCCCCCTCAAAAGGAAGCAAATCAGCCCTACTCTCCACTCTAGGGGCAGATGAGTACCTAAGGCCAGTGGAGAAAATCAAATACGACATCAGAGGAAAGGACAATGATAAAAACCAGGATTCTGCTTTCCAAATAGAAAATCCCATTTGGGAATGCAGTAACGAACATCAAAGATCTTTATAACAATTAAGATTTCTTTTGGAATGAATTAGCTCCTGGGGCCAGGAGAAAAAAGGACAGGAAGAAGTGTTCCTATGGAAATTTACTAGAAAACTGCAAAAAGAAGTAAAGTTTAATGCTTCTCTTTTTTTTTTAGAGACAGAGTCTCACTTTGTCACCCTCAGAGTGCTATGGCGTCACAGCTCACAGCAACCTCCAACCCGTGGCATAGGCGATTCTCTTGCCTCAGCCTCCTGAGTAGCTGGGACTACAGGCACCCACCACAACGCCCAGCTATTCTTTTGTTGCAGTTTGGCTGGGTCTAGGTTCGAACCTGCCACCCTTGTATATGGGGCCGGTGCCCTACCCACTGAGCCACAGGCGCTGACCAAGCATCTTGGTTTTTTTTTTTTAGTCAATCATCAGCTGATTATGCTACTAATGGAAATGAGTAAAATGAGTACCTGAAATAAAAAGCCATCTAGGGAGTCTATTGATCAGTTTTGGGGAAATAAAGGTCCCAGAAACGTCAAGGAATTTCTTCCCTAAACACTACCATGTTTCCCCGAAAATAAGACCTACCCAAAAAATAAGCCCTAGCAGGATTTCAATGCATTTGTTAAATACAAGCCCTACCCTGATGATAAGACCTAGCGATGGGCAGATAGCCACACCATGCATTTCTGCGCAGAACGGTAAGGAAGACAGGAATACCTTTTATCTGCCACAGCTCCTTTCTCCCAGCCATTCGCACTTGCGCAGGTGCATGTGTGGTAACCATGGTCGCAGGCGTCCTACTGTGCACATGTGAATGGCTAGGGGAAAGGAGTTCACGCATCACTAGTGCCAGTCCCACCAACAAGGTAGGCTTCCCCTGTCAGGTTCCAGAAGAAGATGACTTAACTGTATTTGAATACATGTAGATTATTGTATTATACTTAATAAAAATAAGACAGCCCCTGACAATAAGCCCTAGTGTGTCTTCTTGAGAAAAAATAAATATAAGACAGTGTCTTATTTTGGGGGAAACATGGTATGAAATAAAAAAGAATCATTACTGTAAGACGACTTTATCTAACAAAAGCAACCAGTGTAACCTAATTTGTACCCTCAGTGAATCCCAAATAATAAAAAAAAAGGATCATTACTTTAAAATGACTCTGTAGTAAATTTTTAAAAAACAATGCAGAGTATGACATTTAATTATGTTGACAATTTAAAAAGTGTTATTTTCGGGCAGTGCCTGTGGCTCAAGGAGTAGGCTGCCGACCCCATATACCAGAGGTGGCAGGTTCAAACCCAGCCCTAGCCAAAATCTGCAAAAAAAAAAAAAAGTTATTTTCAAGAGTATGTTTCTCTGTTGCTTGTGATAAACTAGCACCAGTCCTATTACAGTGGTCAAATATCTGTAGCCTTATCAAAAAAAAAAATGTATATATACATAATTTTTGCTATTTCTTACGACAGTTACCAGATTAGCATGTTGACTTCTGGTTTGCAGAAAAATGTTAAGCAGCAGTGCTGAGTCACTATTTGAAGGAAATACTATTTCTGCAGCCTAAAGAACATCACTACCATCAATAAGAAAAACCCTTAAAAGAACTAACGAATCAGCTGATGTGAAAGAGGTTGAAATCAGAGTTAATTCTACATTATCCCCGTATGGGCAGTCCCTGGGTCACAAACAGGATCATTCTAAACGTTTGTTCTTAAGTTGAATTTGTATGTAAGTTGGAACAGTTACGTGTACCTATTACCTGTAATAGCCTCTGTTCGTAAGTGTGAGTTGTATATCAGGCAGACATTTATAACTTGGAGACTGCCTAGATCCATATCCATGAAGCTAATGATACCTTGCATGCATGAAGAAAAAGCCTACAGGTTTGCAAATCAAACCCAGAAGCAAACTACAACACAGGGAACTCCACTCACTCCCTGCATACCCCCTTTACTTCCTTAGCCTGCAGGCTCCCAAGAGGAGCGGACAAATGCATAGTTTCTAGAACAAGGAATCTTGCCCTGGCCTGGAATATTCTTGGAGGCATGAAAACCCTGTGCACACCTGGTTTCCAAGCCTCTTAGAAGGTATGAAGCCAGGGCAAGATTCCTTACTCTAGAAACTATGCATGACCCTCTCTCAGGTAAGTGCATCATTTCCCATTTCAAGCTCTGGCATTATCATGTAAACCTGAGGCAAGAGTCCATGATAAAATCCTCTCTGGGAGCTATCTAACCTCTCTGTTTACTGAGGTCATTTCGATCTCATTATGCACTGCAAGAAAACATAGTGGGCCAACATTACCTGGGAAGACAGTCTCATGTTTTAGAGGTTTTACATTTTTCCTTTGATACAGAAAAACAATCAAACAATAAACAATAAACAATCAAAAAAGAAAAAAGGTATTGTTAAATACCTTGTATTTAAAAAGAAAAAAGGGTATGTCAAATCAGTTCTCTCTGTTCACAAAGAAATAAGAGTAGGCAGAAATTAGGATTAAGAGCAAAAGACTTTATCCCAACATGCACTAGCAGCATTTTTCAAACACTGTGTGCACAGATTCCACTTCTATTTCCCCTTTTTCTCTTCTAAACTGTTTCCAAATTCACATGTACCTATTACCTGTAATAGCCTCTGTTCATAAGTGTGAGTTGTATGTCAGGCAGACATTTATAACTTGGAGACTGCCTAGATCCATATCCATGAAGCATGAAGGTATCATCATATGAAACAAAGCCTTTATAAAATAAAATTCTTCTGCGCTAGAAACAGTGAGAAAAATGTCCTGGAGTCCTCTTTCAGAGTTACTCTAATGCCCACCAGTTCCTCCCTTTGAGCAAATTAGCCTTTAAGCAAATTAGTTTCATCTGGACCAAAGGACGTTCTTCCCATCATCAACAGAAAGGCTGTGCAACAATCTTAGAGTTTTATTCTAGGAAAGTCCTTTCCCAGCAATGGTCATGGAGCCTCTGGGGAGTGGGATCCCTGCCACTGACCTGTGCCGGTTTTTATTCTTTCGTTTTTTATGGCTGCTGTGATGACTCCCTGAGGAAGTGGAAGAAGCAGCCTTCTGAGGTTTCACTCCCTGCACAGATCCATCCAGATCCTCAGGGTCCTCCTGGCTGGGCTCATTTTCCTGATTGTGGAAGTCTGGAGAAGTATCACTTTCCGTCCCACTTCCTGGTTCCCCTGGAAGTAATAAACACAAGCCCACAAGTACATTATTAGTACTCCTCAGGCAATCTGTCCATAATAAGGAAAGATTTTTTGAGATCTAACATGCAGAAAAGAAATATTCTCTATCCTCAAGGACTATACATTCTAACTGACAGAAATAAATGTGTGTTGTCAGAGAAGATACATACAAAGCATCAAAGTTACCAGAGTTCTTGAAACACATGTAATCTGAAACAGTGTAACCAGAGGCAACAGATCTAAGGACAGCTGGGAGATGGGAACACATAACCAGGATAACCTTATTGCATAAAGGTTATTTAAACACAGACTACACTAATGGGATTAATAATTATACAAAAAGCATTACTGAACATGTCAGCTAGGTCTCCAGGGGGATGAGGCATGATCTGGGGGGGAAACTACCTATAGCTGGCCATAGTTCCTTTACCAAACCATATAGGAATTCTATCTTTCTATCAAGAAAAAGGGCCCAAGAGGGAGAACAGCCCATTCTTGAATTACTGTTAAGTCTCAAAAATGATTTTTTTTAAAACGAATTAATATTCAGCTGGGCACGGTGATTCACACCTGTAATCCTAGCACTCTCAGAGGCCAAAGCAGGCGATTACTTGAGCTCATGAGTTCAAGACCAGCCTGAGCAAGAGTGAGAGCCCATCTCTACTAAAAATAGAAAAACCAAGGCTCAAAAAAAAAAGGTAAGTCTGAAAGGGAGAAGTATGGTCAGGACAGCCAGCCCTACTCTCTCACATCCAGTCATTCCTACTTTGATGCAGGGAAAAAAGAAATTATTTCTAAGGAGAATAGCTTGATGGGGCATGAGGCCACAAAAGCTGTGGACCACAGACAGGACGCCAGAAGAACTAAGCAGGGGCCAGGCACAGGGAGAAGGGAGACAAGAAAACTAAAAGGTGGGGGATGGGTAAGAAAGGCAAGTTAGATGCTGCAATTATTTTATTTTTTATTTCTTTTTTTAGAGACAAGAGTCTCACTTTGTCACTGTTGGTAGAGTGCCATAACGTCACAGCTCACAGCAACCTCCAGCTCTTGGGCTTAGGACATTTCTCTTGCCTCAGCCTCCCAAGTAGCTGGGACTATAGGAGCTCACCACAATACCTGCCTATTTTTTTTTGTTGGGTTTGGCTGGGGCTGGGTTCGAACCTGCCACCCTCAGTATATGAGGCCGGCACCCTACTCACTGAGCCATAGGCGCCACCCTGCAAATTGTGTTTATGTTGCAATTCTACTAAAAGATGCTGCTAGGCAAAACCAACTATAAACTCTTTCAGGGCCAGCTACTATGGGAGTATTGAGTAAATGGGTAAGTTGGTTATTCTGCAAGTACAAATGTACACACATGTACAAACACATATAAAACAGTGTAAACTGGGCTGGGCGACTATAGCTCAGCAGCTAGGTGCCAGCAACATACAACGGAGTTGGTGGGTTCAAACCCAGCCTGGGCCTGCCAAACAACAATGACAACTACAACCCTCCCCACACCCGCCCCCAAAATAGCTGGGCATTGAGACTCGCTTGAGCCCAGGAGTTGGAGGTTGCTGTGAGCTGTGATGCCACAGCACTCTACCCAGGGTGACAGCTTGAGGCTCTGTCTCAAATAAATAAATAAATAAATAAATAAAAAGTATTCAGTTGGTTCCGCACCTAAGCGCAGATAAGATGCCAGCCAAATACACCTGAGCTGGTAGGTTCAAATTCAGCCTGGGCCCACCAAACAGTGATGGCTGCAACCACCAAATAGCTCGGTGTTGGTGGCAGGCTCCTGTAGTCCCAGCTACTTGGGAGGTTTAGGCAAGAGAACTGCTTAAGCCCAGGAGTTGGAGGTTGCTGTGAGCTATGACACTACAGCACTCTACCAAGGGTGACATAATGAGACTGTCTCAAAAAAAAAAAAAAGTGGAAACTAGCACCCCTAGCTCAGCAGCTAGGGCACCAGCCACATATACCGGGACTGGTGGGCTGGAACCCAGCCTGGGCCTGTCAAACAACGACAACTACAACAAAAAAAACTAGCTGGGTGTTGTGGTGGGTGCCTTGCCTCAGCCTCCCCTACTTTGGAGGCTGAGGCAGAAGAATTGTGTAAGCCCAAAAGTTTGAGGTTGCTATGAGCTATGATGCCACAGCACTCTGCCAAGGGCAACATAGTGAGATTCTGTCTCAAAAATGAAAAAATAATTAAAATAAACTGAATCAAAGTCCTATAAATGAAAAATTCCCCAGTGTTACCTGTCTAAGAGGTAACATACCAGGCAAAGGACTGATAGGGACATTAGCGCCATGGGAATCAAAAAACAAAGAGAAGATTATTCAGGAAAAGCTTCATTAAACAGGATTTAAACTGGACTTTGAAAAATGAGAAGCCAAGATAAGTACAGAAAAGCACAAGTAAAGGTACACACGTGTAGAAACACAGGTATATTTGGTACAAATGAATCAAACAATGCCTCTTGAAACAGAAGGCTTGAACAATGAAAGTTTAAATGGAAGAACAGGTTAATGTGGGTCATAAATACCAAGTAAAAAATTTCATCTAGGGAAACAGTGGGAGATATTAGTTAAGAGATGGTTAAAAGAACTGATTTGTCACTTAACCTTTTGAGTCTGTTTCCTCATCTGTAAAACAGCAATTCTTTCTCTCAAGTGTCAAATATTTATGAAGATGTCTTATGGAGAAGGCGCTGACCTAGAGAATGGAACTACAACCACATCCCCTACATTCATAAAGTTTACAGTGTTACACCTAGAGAGCTTTAGGGATTAAAGGTGATAGTGCAAGTAGAAGTATTTGCTCAGAGTCTGGAACACAGTAACTGTTCAAATCTTAGTACTCTTCAGATCTGGCTGTTTCTCTTTTCTGCTTTTTTGGGGACTCTTTCCTTTACTTCTCATATCCAGTAAAGCTCTAAACAAACAGTAAAGATTATTTGTAGGTAAACAGTTCTGAGCAAGACATCACAAGGGAAAGCCATTAAGAAAGAATTTCAGGGCTCTGTGCGTGTGGCTCAAGCGGCTAAGGTGCCAGCCACACACACCTGAGCTGGCGGGTTCAAATCACCCCAGGCCAGCCAAACAACAATGACGGCTGCAACCAAAAAATATCTGGGTGTTGTGGCAGGCGCCTGTAGTCCCAGCTACTTGGGAGACTGAGGCAAGAGAATCGTTTGAGCCCAGGAGATGGAAGTTGCTGTGAGCTGTGATGCCACAGCACTCTACCCAGGGTGACAGCTTGAGGCTCTGTCTCAAATAAATAAATAAATAAATAAATAAAAAGTATTCAGTTGGTTCCGCACCTAAGCGCAGATAAGATGCCAGCCAAATACACCTGAGCTGGTAGGTTCAAATTCAGCCTGGGCCCACCAAACAGTGATGGCTGCAACCACCAAATAGCTCGGTGTTGGTGGCAGGCTCCTGTAGTCCCAGCTACTTGGGAGGTTTAGGCAAGAGAACTGCTTAAGCCCAGGAGTTGGAGGTTGCTGTGAGCTATGACACTACAGCACTCTACCAAGGGTGACATAATGAGACTGTCTCAAAAAAAAAAAAA